ATTCATAAAAGGCTTTTTGAGACGCTCTTAGTCTGACCCATCACCCAGGACCTGTTTGCCTTGGGAGGCCCTACCAGGGACATATAGCCCCCCAACAACATAGCTCCTGGAATCACTTGGGTACTCAAACCCCTCCACCACAATAAGGTGGCGGTTCAAGGAGGGGTTTTAGAACAGTCCATCCATCCATCCATTTTAGAACAGTGATGGGTACAAATCCTTGAAGCCATACCTGTAGAGTTACAGTAAGCAGTGGCAGCAAAAAGTGCTTTTATGTTGGAATATTTTTTACTAAATTCTTCATTTTTAACAAACATTTTATAGAATCTTTTCCAAATTGAGAGTTGTGTGAAGTTTTCAGTAAATCTTTTTTTCTGTTTCATTACCAAAAGTTCATTTATTCATTTGTTGCTTAATTTTAATCAACACAGAGGAAAATTAATTCTGTAAGATGTAAATTCAGCACCCCTTAACTAATAACCCCAGTAATGTTCTATATTCATACCAAGAGTTTGTGTAATCATTCATTTTGCCCCTGAGACCCTTGAAAAAACATTCAGCAGCCACATTTCTATCCCCGCTGTGACACAGTTCATTAGGATCATCTTCAAAGCTGCTGCTCATGGTGAACAGCGGCGAGTCGTGCTTCTCAGTTGACATCTTTATAACAAAGTCTACGGATCAATTGTGAGTAGAAGTGTTGCTGCATTTACATTTACAAAAGAAAAAACATGCTTTAAATAGTCTTTGTTGACATTTTTAGCATCAACAATCACACTGAAATAATCTGGACAAAATAAAATCTTACTGCCTTTTAAAACTGTTTCTTTTCCAAATAAAAATTCCACTGACAAATAAACCACATCTTACATTTTACATCTTTACATTGACTGAGAAAGGAAATACATTACAGCCGAGCAGAGACCAGGTACTGCTCTGTAAAGCCTGGTGTTGAGTCATGTACTCCTTTTTTTAAATTATATATTTTATATGAAGAGATTTTCTAAGTGAAATTATCAACCTGCACATTCCTAAACTATCCTTTGAGATTTTCTAATTTCACACAGAGTCAAAATAATTTCTGTTGCAGTGAGTGAAGATAATTTTTAATATAAATATCAACTTTAAATATCATTACTTTTTGCAGTGTAACAACAATATACAATCTTCAAATAAGTTAGATTCAGTGCTTTTAACGTTGTCATTCACATCCTCCAGGTACAGCGTCACTGCCCAGTTACTGTGGTGATTTTATTTTGAAATGCTTGTGCAGAAGGACAAGGAAAAAAAAAGAGGAAATTGGTCTACATTGTCCTTCCCTCCTTCTATAACAGAGTTGATGGAGTGTTTCCGCCAAGTTTCTTCCTGGTGGAGATTTTTCACATTTCTGGATGTTAAATTCCTTTAATATATATTCTATAAGTTACATAAGTATAATGTAAGTTGCATAAAATCAAAGCAGTTCTATTCACATTCTGTGGAAAATACTTCAGCACGTAAAACAGCAATTTCAAATCAAATCAGTGATGAAATCGTGATACTCAGGTATTGTAAAATACTGCAAATTATCCAGCCAATCAAATCAGAGTATTCTCTTCTGCCATGGTGTCATTAAAATATTAAAAAGCCTGATTTTAAGGTCAGAACGTTTTTGTAATATTCAACCTTTTTGATGGGTTTCACCAGCAGGGACTATCTCTGATCCTGGGTTAAATTATGGCTTAATGATTCTATTGCTCCCCAAGTTTAATCCAAGATTTAACGGGAATAATTTAACACACTTCTCTGAAGCTGCATTAATTGCTTTTGGCCACATGAGGGCAGTGGAACAAGCTGAGCACCACTAGTATCCCTCTAAAGACCCTGGGAGCTTGGGAGCCACTGTGATTTGGTTTAGTGTTTTAGTTTGTGGGTTTGTAATGTGAAACATTCAGTATCTCCTAGTGTAAAATCTGTACACGCTGTCTGGTGATTAACTTACACCACAAGATGTTCAGCCAATGGGAGAAATTGACTAGGTGACTGAGGAATGAGAACAACTGCAGTGAGGAAGTCATGTCCTTCGAATTATCCATCAGGTTTCATCATGTTTGATTCTCAGGTTTTATGCTTGTAACTTGCTCGCAGTTCACAGACACGTAATCTCACCTCAGATTAAGTTGTTGCCACATCCCTGCTTGTTTCTGAGAGAATTAACAAAGTTCAAAGCACATACAGAGGTGCAGAAGATGACACATCAACACAGTTCAGTGTGTTGATGTTGTGGACATCAGGACAGAAGTAGAGAAAGGCTCAGCTAAGACATGGCTCAGACAGAACAGATATTTGTGTGTGTGTGTGTGTGTGTGTGTGTGCGTGCACGCGCATGTCTTTCTGTGGTTGTGTGGACAGGTTTTTGGTCAAAACCATCTTGAGGTCATTTGTGCTTAAAATATCCTAACATTGGGGTTAGGTTTGTCAGAGGGTTCAAACCTGGTTTTAGGGTTTAGATTTTTTCATCAGCCAGTAGTCATGTGAAACAGCCATGGAGGAGCTCTGGGCAGCTAAAAGTCTGAACCAGCGGCTGCCAGAGTGAAGAGGTGGCGTCTTTTGCACAGAGAGTGGGACAAAGAAAGAGCAACAACCAGGGTTAACATGGGTTTGGCTGTTTGACATGGAGGGGGTTAAACTGAAAAATCAACTGGACTAGATTTCTAGGCCGAAGACCTTTCACCTCTCATCCAAGAGGCTTGATCAGTTCTGACTGACTGGTGTTGAGCCGGAGATATTTATCCCCGTCGGTGGTGTTTCAGTCCTTTGAAGGCCAACAATGTCCCTTAATGACTGAGTCGTTGCAGCCCAGTATCGGTGAGAGTCGTTACCTGTCTTTGAAACCTCCCCTGTTGACCAGTGCCTATTGTCCTGATGGGCATGTTTGGGCAGAGATCTCAAAACAGGATTGTAGATGGAAGACAAGTTGTGTCTTAGTCCACCACCCCTATTTAGTGAGGGGTGTTCTATTTTTACAAAAATAGCTTCCTTAACTCCTCTCTCAAACCAGCGATGTTCTCTGGAGAGGATCTGGACTTCACTGTCCTCAAAAGAATG